TATTTTAAAAGCTAGCTATATCAAATAAAGTATGTCACGAATTAAAACTAAAACTATCTAATCTAAGTATAATGGTATAAACAAATGAAAGTATAGCTATTACAGATGGTATGTATAAATGGTAATGGAATGCTGTGGCAAGAATTAAATGAAGTGGAGTGAAATTGTTGTGATGAAAATTGAGGAAAACATAAAAGTATGTTGAGAAAGAATATAGTTAAAATGCAAAAGTATTCTAAAGTAGGAAAATAATCCGAACTTTGGAAAATGAGATAAGACTGACAACCTCACACAATCAAGCTTCTATGGAGGTAAGTGGTATGGATTTTCTATGGCAATAATATTCTATGGTAAGGATGATCCCTGTTTCTATGAGTATGATGCCCGACAGGAATTGCTAAAAATGCTCTTACACTCTCTCAAACAAAAAACCTGATAAAACTAATTCTACGACAATACCTCTCAGCGTAAACTGCAACACTAGTCTATCGACTAAGTCTTATCCCTTTTAGTCGAATAAAACCCTCTCCTTATCGCTATGATGGGTTAGAACCTCCCCATCCTGATTTGGCTCCCTTGATCACGTAGATCTAACCTTGATATTTCGATACTAGGTATTTATACTTAGAAAATGATAATCTCTCAAAAGCTCTTAAAATACTAAGCATATTATGCTACAAAAAACAACAACCTCTCAAAAGCTCTTATAATGCTACAATGCATAAAGTTAAAAAAAGTGAGCAAAACAACATTTAAAACATAAAACATCCATTCATCCATTAACACAAAATAAAATCATCCAACACAAATCCAACACCAAATAAGTAACTTCATGGTGTGGCTAAGTTCATCAAAGAATATGAAAGTTTAGTACAAGCCCAAATAGATAGAAAAATAAAGCACTAGGAGAATAAGGCTCCCAAAATGAGTTGATTTCGTGACTTAGCTCAACCACCATACACTGTCTTAGCAAGCTAGCCTCTCTCGAGGTCTAGATGCTACTTCTTTTGAAGCTCGGTTGTGGAGGAAACCATGAAAAGAGGATAAAAAAGGAAGAAGAATATGGAAATGAGCAGCCGCCTTTCTCTATGTCACCTCTCAAAGCTTTTCAAAAGGCTCTTTAAAATGTAGAGTACATTAGGTATTTATAGAGGGAATATTTCTTGGGTTTTGGGCCTAAAATTCCCTTTGTACCCTAAGTGACACCCTTCTTACGTGAATTGACAGTTATTTATAGCAAGTGGTCCCAAATTTGCAACAGGGGTGGTAGTTACGTGTGGCTAGACAACTAAGAAAATATATGTTTGCTATTTTTTCTTTTCTGCTCCAGAATGCTACAACAACAATTTATCCAACATGCCTTAGCAACCACGTTTTCTCCTTAAGCTTTCATTACCTACACAACACCACAAAAGTAAGACCTTTCCATCAGTAACACCAATTTTCAAAAAATTTAGGTCGTGGCAAAACTTACCACCGAATGCAACTATATGACCTAAATGCACTTTAAATGTTATGACATGGGCTTTAAACAAAAAATAACCTAAGTAAAAAGGCAGAAAATACATCCTTTTTACGGGTTTATCAATAATAGAGAAGGAAATGATGAAATAATGAATGGAAGAATGTTTGCCAAGTGAAATTTAAGGAAATGCATCTTTTATTGCAAATGAAAGACATATAGATTAACTCTTACAAAAGATCACCTATTTTCCCAAGTTTAGACAATGGTGGAAAAGTCATAAACTCTCGTTTGGGGTATTCTCTAGCCCATCTATCTCTTCTTCTTTCCTGGTTTTTGGATTTCATTAATTTATCTTTCAGGTTTGATTGATACCCTAAACCAAATTGATATCTCTTTTTGGATGGGATATATCATTAAATAATCACTAAAGATGCTTACCCAAACCTTTTTTTAGCTTGTGCTCTTCTTCCAAGAGTTAGCTTAATTCTAATTCTAGTATATCTGGACAATCTATAGCTTGACATTCTATTCCTTTCTGCCACGAAGATGGTGTTAGCAAACTCTAAAGGCTTGGAGTAACATTCGAGGGCCTCCTCACTCACTTCAATGTATGGGGAATTGGTGGAAACATAAGCAATTATGTCATCCTTAGAGTTAATACATATTAGTCTTCCATCGATCACAAATTTAAGGTTTTGATACAGTATGGACAAAACTACCCTTGCCTTATGGATCCAAAGTGTCCCTAGTAAACAATAGTAGGTAGACATGATATCCATTAGGAGAAATTCAACCTTATAGTTAGATGGGCTGATATTTAAAGGAATTTCGATATTCCCTAACACTTGTCTTTTAGTTCTATCGAAGGCTCGAGCAATGCTCTGACAATTCCTCATGTGCGTGCTTTCAATAGGTAATTTTTTAAGAGTCACTAGAGGCATTACATTTAGTGTAGAGCCATTATCAATTAATACCCTTGACAAAATGTGTCCATTGCATCTGATGGTGATATACAGAGCCTTGTGACTGTCGATCATTCCTGAAGCGATCTCATTGTCAAAGAAAGAAATGAAGATATTTGCCTAAATATTAGCAACCAACATATCCAGTTTATTTGCAGATAAATCTATAGAGATAAAGTTTTGGTTTAGAGCCTTCAATAGAGAATTTTATTACACTTCAGAGTTCAATAAAAGTACAAGCACTGAGATGCGAGTGGATAACTTGTGTAACTAATCAACACTATTGTAATCACTATTCTTCAACAATTTCAGAAATTCAATAGATTTTTTTCTCTATTACTAGTTTCTTGATGATTGGCTTATATTATTTCAATAGTAAATTATTGGTCTTCTTTCTCTTGTCACTGGTCGGTCTTTTCTCGGGTCCCTTAGATTGGTCTGGAGAATAACACCTCCCACTTCTGGTGAAATGACATACTTTATCTAATTTTCCATTGATAGTCTCTGACCACCCAATATTCTCTATCTTGTACTCATATCTCCAAGGGACATGTTTATTTTTTTATAGGTGAGTAGAGATGGAGGTGGGGTAATCGCCTTTGAAGTTACGTTCTCAGCCACCCAGGCTTTTGGTATGATAACTAATAACTCTCCAAAAGAGTTATTATTTAGAGTCTTTGTACTTAGGTTTGACCTTATACTATAGCATATGAGGATCATATTTAGAGTGTTTTTAGATAATTTTGCATTACATCCGTTACTGGGAGTGAATTGGTAATTTTTGACTAATTATGCTATTGTGTTGTGATATTGTTACCCCCGATGATGTGACGTTGTCTGATGTTGCAGTTATTGTAATGTGCTGATACGAGGAAGGATTGTTGGGTAGTTATTGCAGCAATCTATAAGCATGCAGAAAACTATTGATAGCTGGACATAATCCTATTTTGGAAAGAACTGAATAGTAGAAAGAAATCTTACTGGAAAAGGTGTCTCAATTTAATGTGGACTTAAACTCTACTTTTTAGGGTTTGTAATTATTATATAAATGAGGCGGTTGCACTTAATATAAGAGAGTTTTTCAGGGTTTTATTTTATTCTTTTCTTTTCTTCACTATTAATCATGGCCTCTTAGGCAATTTTGGGGGAAAATAGCAGCTGGAAGTGAAGGCAAAGTCATCATAGAGATGTGGTGGTTGGTGATCGACGACAGTATCAATGACAGCAACGATAAAATAATTTTGAGAGGGGGTTTTATTTTGTTTAGCTGAAATACTCTTTAATTTGGTTAGGATTTTTTAAACCTTGGATACTATATTTTTAAATATATTTTGAGTTTTGGTGTTTTCTTGGTTTTATCAAGGCATTTAGTACATATATATATTTTCCCAGTCCATTGTATCGAAAGGTGAGTGGCATTGTGTGAGCACTGCATCGAGAGGTGAGTGTCATTGTCGCATCATCAATGATTGTAGGAGTAACCTTTTAGTATAGAGAGATCTAGTTGACTGATTGTCGTAACATCCTCAGTAAAATTTCATCATTGGGTTTAGAAATACAACATTGCTGTGAGTTTCTGGGTGGAGCCATTGAGAGAGGAAAACCTACTAAGTTAATTTTAGACACATTGATCGTATTGTTGTGGCATGATTAATTGCATTATTGAGTTTAACAATACCATAATCTTTAGCTTGAGCCGATCCAATGCTTTTATTGCCACTTTTTTAATCCCTCCATCCCTTAATATCTTTATTTGCATATTTATTTTAGGTTTTATATTTTTATTGCTTTGTTCACAACATTGCATATACAATTTTGTTATTTTACTTACTTAATGCTATAGCAATTCTCTAAGTAATACTAGTGTATGTGGATACAATACTCGATGCATTAATTTGCATCCACTTTATTACTCGATATAATAGTGTATGCTTGTATTGATTGCTGTTACATTATTCGAAGCATCAAGTTTTTTCCACCGTTGTTGGGAAATAGTGTTATTATTTTGTGAGTTGTTGTTATTATTATTATTATTATTATAGTTTTTTTCTTTTCTTAGGTATATTTTAATAATTTTTTTGGTGCATAAATCAAGATAATAATCGATGGAAAAAGATCAACAACAAGTGCTTAATGTTGTATTAGTTCCACATTTGCAAAATATTCCGATGTTACCAGCTTATCACAGCATTGATGATAGGAATAGGCCAATCCGTGATCATGTTGTGCCCACATTAGATGATTTGAATCATGGCATTGTTCGACCAACCATCAATGCTGCCAACTTTGAATTGAAGCCGGTGATGTTCTAAAAGTTGCAATCAGTGGGGCAATATAGTAGGATGCACACCCGAGGATTATAGAGCACACCTAAGAGCATTTATGGATAAGTGTGATTCATTCATGCTGCAAGGAGTGCCCAAAGAGGCCTTAAAAAAGATAAAATTGTTCCTATATTCACTTCACGACAAAGCTATGGTGTGGCTTAATTCGCTTCCACCTGGTGCTATAACATCGTGGAATGAACTTTCCCAAAGTTCTTGCTTTGATTCAATCCACCAAACATGAATTCTAGATTGAGGAATAACGTCACATCTTTCAAGCAATTGGAGGATGAGAACTTGTATGAAGCTTGGGAGTGATTTAAAGATTTAGTGTGGAAATGCTCGATGCATGGTTTCCGGCATTGGACGCAAATAAAGATATTTTATAATGGAATTACCATGTAAACATGGATGGTTGTAGATGCTTCTGCCAATGGAGCATTCATGGACAAGTCCTACAACAAAGTTGATGATATCTTAGAGAGGATTTCAAACAATGACTACCAATACCCCCACTACAAGGATTATATCAGGTAGATGTGTTGCTACAGTAGTGAACAAAGATGCTCATAACACATTGACTAAACATGTGACAACATTGACTGAAATGATGAAAAACAAGCAAAGGTCTAGAGGTATGTATGAGGTAAAAGATACATCTTTTGTTAATTGTGTTTATTGTGGTGATAACCATAATTTTCAAGAATGTCCACAAAACCCTGAGTCTGTGTATTTTGTGAGAAGTTATAACAAGAATGGTAATGCCAACACATACCAGAGTACCTACAAGCTAAATTTCCAGAATCATCACAACCTTTATGTAGCATTGCAATCCAATTTTGGGAAAACACAAAAGCATTATTCACTGCAAGAATATACTCAGTAGCAGCCAATGATGCAACATCATCTATCAAATCATCAAGCAATGCTACAACAACAACGCAACAACCAACAAAATTTCATGGGCAGTCTTCCTATCAAGTCTCAGCTTCAACATCGACATCTCTTGAGTCTTTACTGAAAGAGTACATCTCTAGGAATGAAGCTGTAATCCAAAGCCAGACAACATTTTTTAGAGTATTGGAGAATCAAGTTGGACAACTACTAATGCACTCAGTAGCAAAACACAAAGAGCATTGTCAAGTGACGCTAAAGTCCCTTAGGCTAATAGAAAAGCGCATTACAAAGCTATCATAACGCGAGGTGGACTCCAAATTGGAAAACTTGATGAGAAAATATAATAAGAGAAGAAAATGCCTCAACAACAATCAAAAGGTAAGGAAGGAGTAAAGGTGATTGAGTCATCCATCGTGGATGCTATATCAAAGGGTGTAAGATAGAACATTAATTATGAGATATTACCACCAATAATACCGACAGCAATTCCACCTGTGATGCCAACAACATTGCTAATACAACAGAATCCAAGACCTACACCTCTATTTCCCCAATGATTCCAGAAAAGTAAAGAGAAACGACAATTTAGAAAATTCATTGATGTATTGCAAAAATTATGCGTTAAAATACATTGATAGAAACATTGGAGCAAAAGTTAAACTATGTCAAATTTATGAAAGAGGTGTTTTCCAAGAAATATATGATTGGTGATTTTGAGACCGTTGCACTCACTGAAGGGTGTAGCGCCGTTTTCATTAGCAAATTGCCCCAAAAATTAAAAGATCCAGGGAGTTTTATGATTCCTTGCACTATTGGTAATCAATATACAGGTAAAGCTTTATGTGACTTGGGTTCCAATATTAACTTAATGTCTTACTCTATTTTTAGGAAACTTGGGGTTGGTAAAGCACAACCCACAACAGTTACACTTCAACTTGCTGACCTATCCACTGTCTATCATAAATGAAAGATTGACAATGTGCTAGTACGAGTAGACAAATTTATCTATCCATTAGACTTCAATGTCTTGGACTGCGAAGCTAACAAAAAGGTTCCCATAATAATAGGAAGGTCATTCCTCACTACTGGACAAATATTGATTGATGTTAAAAAGATAGTTGCGCCTCAATGACCAACAAATTATATTTAATGTGTTTGACCCACTACAATACGATGAAGAAGAAGAATGACATGTTGTTGACATTGTCGAAGCAATAGTACAAGATCAATTAGATGAATGTGGGAGCATTGAAGAGCTATTTAATATTACTATGACCACAAAAGCCTTAGACGAGCTAGTTCATAAAGAAACCAAGACAAACGAGAGAATACACCAAAGCCTTAGGTTTGGGGGTGTGATAACTCTCTAAAAGAGTTATTATTTAGAGCCTTTGTACTTAGGTTTGAGCTTGTACTTTAGTATATTAAGATCATATTTAGAGTTTTTTTAGATAATTTTGCATTGCATGCATTGTTGGGAGTGAGTTGGTAATTTTTGGACTAATTATGTTGTTTTGTTGTGATATTGTTACCCTAATGCTGTGACGTTGTTTGATGCTACAATTATTGTTGTGTGTTGATACGAGGCAGGATTGTTGGGTCATTGTTGTAGCAATCGATGCATGGAAAAAAGCTGTTGACAGCTGGATAGAATCCTATTATGGAAAGAATTGAAAAGTAGAAAGAAATCTTAATAGAAAAAGGTATCAAAATTTAATGTGTGCTTAAATTCTATTTTTAGGGTTTTTTTAATTATTATATAAAGGAGGTAGTTGCACTTAATAGAAGAGAGTTTTTCAGGGTTTTATTTTATTCTTTTTTTTCTCCTCCATTAATCATGGCCTCTAAGGCAATTTTGGGGGAAAACAGCAGCTAGACGTGAAGGCAAAGTCAACATTGAGAGGTAGTGGCTGGTGATCAGTGATAGCATCAACGACATCAACGATAAAATAATTCTGAGATGGGGTTTTATTTATTTTTAGTTGAAATACTCTTTAATTTAGTTGGGATTTGTTAAGCATTGGATGCTATATTTTTAAATATATTTTGAGTTTCATGTTAATTAATTTTGTCCATTGATACGATTGATTTGTTTGATTTTATTAAGGCATTTAGTAAAGAGATATATATTTTCCTAGTCCATTGCATCGAGAGGTGAGTGTCACTATTGCAGCATCAGTGATTGTGAGAGTAACGTTTCAGTATAGAGAGATCTAGATGATTGGTTGTCGTAGCATCCTTAGTAAATTTTCATCAGTGGGTATAATGATACAACATTGCTGTAAGTTTCTGGGTGGAGCCATCGAGAGAGGAAAACCTACTAAGTTAATGTTATATGTATCGATCGTATTGTTACTGCATAGTTAATTTCATGATTGAGTTTAACAATACCATAATCTTTAGCTTGAGTCGATCCAACACTTTCATTGCCACTGTTGTGATCCCCTTCATCCCTTAATATCTTTATTGGCATATTTATTTTAGCTTTTATATTTTTATTGCTATGTTCACAACATCACATATACAATTCTATTATTTTACTTAATGTTATAACAATTCTCTAAGTAATACTAGTCTTTGTGGATACGATACTCGATGCAATAATTTGCATCCACTTTATTACTTGATACGATAGTGTATGCTTGCAATGATTGTTATTACATTATTCGAAGCATAAATAACCAGAGGGTGATTTGCATTATAGACTACCCTGTAAGAACCCTCATATCCACAAATCTCTACTTTTTCCTCTTTCTCGACTTTTTTGTAGAATTTCATCTCCTTATCAGCCATCATTCATTGTAATGAGGCCCAAAATTTAGAATAGTCTTGTATGTTGTGTCCCTCATGAAGGTGATATTGACATACATTCTCACTTTCAGATTCTTCAATTGTTGAACTCAGGACTAATAAGTTAGCTCTTATCATCTGACCTCATGCCCACTTCATTAGTGACTTCACCTCGGTCGCATCTGCTATGATCATTTTCCCATTCTCTTCAATTATGACATTGACGCCTGCACCTCCATGGTTAAGAAAAGGGTTCTTAGCCCATTTGGTTGCTCAGTATCACCAAAGTTTATGATATTCTTTTACCTAAGCCTTTAGACAATCTTCTTGAAGGTAGTGTAATTCTATATTGATATAGGAACTTTAGCGTGTTATTTACATTGTATATTAGCATCATATCGTTTAGGGTATGATGGTTGTAGAGGTGACATGTGATAGGGTGATACCATAAGCCTATCATATAATTCGTGGTATAATTCCTTGTAAGTTACGAGGATAGGGTCAAACTACAATCTCTCATTTTCTTATCTCGACCCCTTTAATTCTTGTCTTACAGTATTCTGAGTAGATTATATCTTATCTGGGGTAGTGATATAGTAATGTTGTTGGAATTGTACTTCCCTACATTATATACTTTATTGTCCTGTCATCTAGTTGACGGTTTCTTGACAGACTCTCATATTTCAAACCTTCTACTCGTGATAGCCATTTCTATGTTCTCTCCTATTGTGAGTAGGTTAGAGAAGATCTTGGAGGAATTCCCTATCAGATTCCTTTTGAATGGACCCCTTAAAGTATTCGTAAAGAGCATGGTCGTTTATTTCTCTTCAGTGGAGGATGAACTTGCATTGTCACATCCCTCCATCTCTGGTGTATTGCTTGAAGCGCTTATTGAATTTCTTCTCCATATTCTGTAACATGATTCGATTGGGCCTAACAACCTTCATATACTTGTACTACTCTTGTAATGCCTTGGCTAAGTCATTTATGACCAAATGTGGGTCTTGCTGAATTGGCTATACCTTTGAGTGGTTGAGCCCATTAAACTCTCCTAAAAACAATGGATTAATAGTTGATAATAATTTATATTAAAATTCATTTTTCTACAGAACATTTGTTGTGAGTAGAGGGGCATCTTTTTCCATTAAATTCTAAAAAATTAGGGATCTTGAATTTTGAAGGCAAAATCAAATCAGGAACTAGGCTATGTTCCTTGGCATCAATTCTATATACATCACTATCTTCTTTCATAGCTTTGATATGTTCTTCCAACTACTTCAATTTCTCTTACAATTGCTTGTTCTACTTATTCCTGGCTTCTTCATCAAAATCTGAGATGTGTCCATACTGGTGTTCTTCGTGATATGAGCTCATTCCAAGGTATAAGCTTACATAAGTGCCAGCTGGATTACAGTGCAACTTTACTATATGAACATGTGTATCTTGGTGAGCTTGGGCATAAGTCAAGGTGAAACTAAGCGGGTAGAGAGGGGCCAAATTGGCTGCAAAACGTGGCTAAACTTAGAAAAACCTCCATTAAGAAAAAAAGTTTCATTGTTACAAGACATATTGATTACAAAAAAAGGCCTAGCTCTCCAATTCAGTTATACAATTTCATTGACAAGCAATGTGACCCTCATTCCATAATCAGAAACTGGGTTTGTGTAGC